CGGGGCTTGTGTCGCTCCGGGCCGGGGCAGCCGGCGTTCGTTCGTGCGGCTCCGAGCGCGGGCTGTGCCTGTGCCCCGACGCCCCCGGCGAAAACGCTGCAGGGCCCCGAGAGCTCCTTGGGAAGGACGGTACCTGTGCGACTGCTTGGCAGGGGGATCCTGGCAGGCAGCTGCTCCTGCAACTTCGAGTTGTCCTCTTTGCTCAGAACAGGCAATCATGAGTGATCGAAAGGCAGTGATCAAGAATGCAGACATGTCTGAAGAGATGCAGCAAGACTCTGTGGAGTGTGCTACTCAAGCCTTAGAGAAGTACAACATCGAGAAGGACATTGCTGCTCACATAAAGAAGGTAAATATTTGCTTGTAATGTCCTCATGAAATCTCTGTGCACATGAAAAATCAAGCAGGGAGAATGCTGCTAGGCAAGTAGCTCTAGAGCAACAAGTTCCAGAGACACTAGATAATCGAGTTGGACTTTCTGTGTTGGCTGGTGTCCTTATGTTCCTCTCCCCACCCTTTGCATGGACTTTTCCAGGTCCTCCTGCCTTTCTCTTGCAGTGGCTTCTACTTAAGCCTTTCCTGCCACTGTCCCATTGTCCAGGTGAACAGAGAGTGGCAGCTGACTCTCCCTGTGACTGATGAGCTGGGGCTCTATGGAGCCTATTTGAGAAGTGGGGGTTTGCTGACCCTGTAATAAGTGGTTTGGTTTTGTTTCTTTTTCCCCACCACATGTAAGACACACTGTTAATGCTAATGCAGAACAGGTGGTTCATAGCTTCCAGTATGTCATATTTTTCTCTCTGACTCCTACTGGGAGCCTAATGGAGCTGCAAGTAGTTGAATGGTTGAGCAGAACACAAAGTCTTGCATACTCTCACATAAAAGTCTCTTCGGCTGACGGCTGTTAAATACTGCACTACACAACCACTGACTGCACAGTTTTACTCATAGTAGATTCATACACATGAGTTTATTTGAAAGTCAGAGCAGGCTCCTGACTATAGCATGTAGGAAGAGCATGGTCTCATGACCTGGTATGGTACCAAGCATGTGGCAGAGAATTTTTCATCAAGAGTCCTTTCAACATCCTTGTTGAAAACAGCCAATGAAGTCAAAATAATGGCTTAATCTGTAGAGATTCAGAACAAGCAGTGAAATTCTTAAAATTACAGTTTGAGATCATGGTGTGACTTTGCAGAAAAGTTACTTCCCGAAACATATGTCTGAAGCTTATTCCTGTGCAGCTTGGAAGCACTTTTTTTTTTTTTTTTGGTCTGACTAAGCAGCGGATGAGTTAAAGTGACAGATGATCCTTGCACTTAAGAGCATATGTTGCTCCTTAATTGCGTTCTTCCAAAAGTGATACTTGTTAACAAGTGACATATTGCAAAAAAAAACCCTGTTAGACAATATTAGTACAGTTCTCACAAAAATGCTAAATTTCTAGTTCTCTCTTCTGTAGGAATTTGACAAGAAATATAATCCCACTTGGCACTGCATCGTGGGAAGGAACTTTGGCAGCTACGTGACTCATGAGACCAAGCACTTCATCTACTTCTACCTCGGCCAAGTTGCTATTCTTCTTTTCAAGTCTGGTTAGAACCATGGACTGTTACTGAAACTTGCACCTGGTTACAGGACTGCACACGAATTCCAAACAGCCTCCTACCTTCAGCCTTCCTGAGGAGACGGACCTTGATCTTCAGGTCTTTTGTTGTATTGTTAATAGTCAGGGATTTTGCTGTAGCAGCTGGTATTTTCATTGTGGCTATAAAAAAAAGGCAAAAATGTCTTCCTTGTATTTATTTTCTTTTAAAAGACAGCTGCTTTGCTAATAAAACTGTTGGAACAAGTTTATCCTTTAAGAGTTTTCTTTACCCTTCTGCACTCTTAGTGCTTACATTACCCTCTTTATTCCATTGTGAATGAAGGAGGAACATCCCCACCTTTGTTTCGTCCCTGAAATCCACATCTGAAGCCTGGGCTGATCTATGAATACCTCATTAGTCAGTAACTGAGAACAACAGGAGATAGTTTCCCAGAGAGAAGAGAGATGGCTTTTCAGTTCTTGGTAAGTATATTTTCAGTATGCACAACCTCCAGTGCAAATTCTGGAGTTTAGATACGTGGTGCTGCTTTTCTGATTTTAAGTGAATTGGTGAGTTAAAAGCAATAGTCTTTTCATCTCCCAATTTTCAGAAGAGAGAAATTTTCATACTAGTTCATTACACACCTGTCACTTCAGAATGTAATTTACCTTCTCTAGGTTTTTTTTTTTAATCTAGCCCTGTATCCTGCTACAGAAGCATCTGTTCTTCAACAGTTTTGTTTAAAGAACAGAAGGAAATGCACAGTATTTTTATGTAGAGGTTATGCATCTAGCTTTGACAAAATGATTTTGTATGGAGGTTAAAACATGTCATCTCATCCCAGAATATAGGTATGTGGTCACTCTTCAGAAAAAAATTCCTTTCTTATAAGGTTTCCTTTCTAAAGGTTAAAATATTAACTTAAGTGAAAAAAGTTGTCACAGAGCTGTTTTATTTCACAAGCCTTCCATTTGCCTTTGAAAGATGTAAAGGAATCATGGGAAAAAATCCCTTAAAGTCCACATGACAAAGATAATGACAGCTTAATAAAAATGTAATAAATCCAAGTTACTTCTCACTGGTATGATACCCTCCCTGAAGCTTAGTAAAAAAAACAGGAGGCATCTTATTCAAAGGCTACTCAGTCTATTTCTGTATCCACACCACTGGTAACTGAAGTTGCTTCATCTGTTAGCATTGCTGAGTTTTGGCCATGTCCTTTATGCTGTACTTGAAGGGAAATGCAAGTGTAAGAAACACCACAGGAGTCACTCCATCTGCAAGTTTCTTGGGGGAGAAAAGGCAGCTGACGTTCTTCTGGGTCTGACTGCACAAAGTTCTTAAAACTCCTCTTCAAGCTTGATGGTGTTAAAATTCCACAGCTTTCATATTCCTCAGGAAAATTACACTTCCTGTGTTTTGCTACATAGTAGACTCACAGTTTGAAACCTGAGTGAATGGCAACAATGCCCGAGTTTAAATTCTGATAATCCACTTTAAAAAAGCCTGCATCTTCTATCATTGCCTTCAACTCCTCCTGAAAAATAATAGTTCCATAATTATAACAACCTGAAGGCCTATAAGCCAGCAGCCTGCAAGATTACACTGGGACCGTGTTGTGTATTAGTGAATTCAGAGAAATACTGTCTTACCTGAGGGGGGAAACGTCGGATGCTCTCCACGAGATACTGGTAAGACTTCCAGTCACCAGCGATAACCTCACCCAGAACAGGGATAACCTGGAAACTGTATAGATCATAGAGCCTGCACAGACAGACAGCAAATGCAGATTAATACAAACAAGTTTAAAACCAACCCTCTCCAACACAAGTTGATCTCTGTACCACTATGCTATATGGAGTCTGTATCTGTTTTTAAAAGTGCACAACGAGGTGGCCTCAAAGTTCCTCCATCTCTTATTCTGGCTGAGTACAAATAAGAAAGCCTTGTGACACTGCATGAAGTGTCACCATGTTCCTACCTGGAAAGAAGAGGGTTGCTGACGTGACTAAATTCAAGGCAGAGGAATCTTCCTCCTGGTTTCAGCACACGATAGGCCTCCTGCAGTGCCTGAGACAAAGCAGATGAGATAAGTTCGTTGCTGTAGAACAGCACCTGCCTATGATCATGCCATATGACGGCAACACAGTGATGAACTGAGGGGAGTAAACAGAATCCTGACTGGCAATCCCCAATATTTACTTGTGGAGAAGCATCCCAAAACAAGTAAAAAAAAACCCCAAACACACCACAAAACCAAACCACAAACACTCTTGCTGTTACATAAATAGATTTATACCAGGCTTTATGTTGAAACTATGATGTCAGGTTTGCAGTTTTTCTTGTTTTTCCCTGATGAACGCTTGCCAGCAGAGCTCTTGTAATTACAGACCAAACCCAAAAGGGAGAAGGTGACTCAGCTACAAGAAGCGGAAAATGAAAAGAGGGCATGATAGGTTGTTTTTTTTGTAAAGAAATAAAAAAATATTTACTCAACTGTGAGGCACACCCAAAGGATCAAAGAAGAAATTATACTGGGTTTTGGATAAGCCATGCATAAGAAGAGGGAGGAAGGAAAGGAGAAAGGAAGAAAATCTTTGGCTACTTTGAAAATTCCATCCTATATCCAAAATAAAATACTTAAGAAGAACCACCAAGACAAAATTCTGTTTACAGCTGTATTTTTTTTTCATACAAGAGCACAGCAGAGTTGTACAACCTGCAGAGGTTCTTGAATACATCTGCTTGGCTTCAACTGTCATGTTCCTAAGGGATAAAATATAAACAGTACGCATACACAGGCAGGAGCTCTATAAAAGAACTGGAGGCTTGTCTGTGTTTTGTGGCAGGTCTCCAGGGAGCTATTCTACCAGACTGCTGTATCCATGAAGGCAAAAAGCCTGTGCTTCAGAAGGGTGTAGGCGAAGCATCGTGAAAAGCCATCCACATTAAGACATGTTCAAAGGCATACAGTTCAAGGTGGTTTGGATTCAAATGCTACACCTTCCATAGAAGGAGCATTGCCAAGTTGTAACACACTCCTCCAAAACACAGACAACTAGTCCAGCTAGACAGGTGATCTAACTTATCTTCACCTCCAAGACAGCTAGTCATTCTGGAAGGACAGATACTGTTCAGAACAAAGGGTACTACTTACCCTAATTAAAATCATACTCATTCTTCATGGGAAACTACTACCAACCAGTGTAAAGACACTGAGCAGAAGTGGGCTGAACAGGTTAGTTCAATGGCAGCGGTGCCAGCAGCCAGCTGGTTCCCACTCTCTGCTTTGGGAGCTCTGCTGTCTCAGCCAGGCAAACAGAATGGGGCAGGAAGCACTGGACCCACTGTGCGTGGAATATAGATCAGGTGCTTCAGGAAGATTTGAGACACGCAGACTGACTGCACTGTGCATGTGTAGATCCAGTAACACCATAGGTCAGGAGAAGGTGGGGGATGACTTCAGCATTCAGCCCTTTTTGCCTTCAGAAGAGATTGTGTGGCTTGCCAAGCTGGAAGGATTGGGTGCAACTAGTATAAATCTAACTGTTTATGACAAAAGGTGGGGAATTTAATTGCATTCTTCATTCAAACAAGTTGCACACTACATGCCACTTATTTAAAATGCTTCAGGAGTAGATAAAGATGTTCCTTTATCCAAAGGAATTCTTCCTTTGCTTCTTCTGCTAGAATAAAAAAAACCTTAGGTGAATCATAAGGACCCCACATCAGGATACACTATAGCAACTTACCAAATCAATACGAGTTACATTTCGGATTCCAAAGGCAATTGTGTAAACATCAAACTTATCATCATCAAAGGGCAACTCTTCAGCATCCCCAAGCACCCAGGACAAACCTGTAGTAAAAGCCAAGGATACAGTATTGAACAGACCTTATATAACTCAGACTGCTCCAGAAAGACTAGAACTTCTCTATTAATAATAATTTCCTTCTGGAATAAAGTAGTATTTTAAACTAATATTTCAATTTTGCATTTTTGTTGGAGGAAAGGCACCTTGGTCTATACTCAGAAAGCTTTCAAGGCCCTGTACTATACAGCTGTCTTTCAAGCAAAGTAGTTAATGTTACAGATCAGCCAAAACATTCTTCTGCATATACACATGTTGTGTTCACAGTGCCGTAGCCTGCCAAAAAGATTTCACCCAAATCTTGCATCGCAGTGGAAAGCAACTAGCTTTCCAGACACTGGCTGCCATTTGTTTGTAGCAAAGTTGGAAAAAAAAAAAAATCTCTGCTCAAAGAATAACTATAAACAGTGATTAAAGTCTTGCCATGCAACAATGGTGAAAACACTTAAAACATTTTGCTGGAAAGTGTCCACAGATTGAGGAACATGAAAAGCCACACTCCCTCCATCAGCACTATCAGTATGTGATCCTGTTGCAGCTGTGTTGCTTCCTAAAAATCCAGTGAATCAAGGCCATGTCTATCTGTGGCGCACAGATGTCCAGGTTATTTGTACCAGAAATAAGACTGCTCAATTTAGAATTAATAGTTCTTAAAGTCACTGGTTTTGGTGACTCAAACACAAAATAAAAAACTAACAGAAAAATGCAGGAGTCTTCTGCAAGAGAGATCAGTAGTTTCAAAGAGCAGTATGCTAGAAAGTGACATGGAAGAGGACAAAACACAGGAGAAAACAGTTGTTGCCAGGAGACATTCAGATTTCATTTTTACAAAATATATGTATTCATAGTTGTAGAAAGTATCGTATGCAAAGCAGCACATAACATTATTAAAACAGCAATTATAAGTGTTATTTAAACGTAGACAGTTTGAAAAGACACCTAAGAAGTGAGCATCAAAAGCTTTTGAGCAACAGGAAAACTGCACTTCAGAATACACTTTGGTAAAATCACAGGCCAGGAGTTTTTAAGTGGATACATAAAAGGGGTTGTGAGCGTCCAACAAGAGGAACTGGGGCACCTGCAGCGCAGCCTACCCCTCCTGGCTAGCCAAAATGCACAATCAGCAATTGTGTAACACGTGTTTCTTTTCGGCATGCACAGCCCCCAATATTGGTGAATGTACATAGGAACACAGTAAAAGAAAACTGCCCCTTACAATTTTATGGAAGAAAAAAAAAAGTAGTCCTCAGACAATCAACAGATAAACAAGCTCAGAAATGAGATTACTACAACAAACAGAAGGTAGGACATATTAAATGGATATATGCTGAACAAGAGAGTGAAAAAGAATAAGAAGTCAGAATTGCGGCACAGTGGGGCATAAAGCAACCCAGGCAACAATAAGACAGCTGGGCTTCTACAGCTATGAGGTACAGGGAAGAAAGTTAAAAAATACAATACTCATTTTGATAATTTGGTAAGTCACAAAAACACCTAAAAAGCGCACCCAATTAAACAAAATGCTTTATTTATAGTAGCTGGCAGGCAGCATCAAGCTTTATTTCAGGTCCTAAGCTATGGTTGCAAAGCTTTTATACTTACAATGTTGATACAGTTCAGGTGTTCCTAAACTAGGATGCATAGAAACAGCTCTGGACAGGCTGGCAAGCTGCTCAGAAAAGCACGATACAAGCAATCTGCCAGAGCTGGAAGAACCAATGCTTTCACAATCATTTCATTTTTTAAATAAAAGGGAGAGGCAGGCAGGCAATGGATTGGGGTAACCCACCAGCAGGGAGCAAGAGCAGCTGAAAGAACCTATGCCAGCAGCTTCTCTTTCAGCCCCTTTGTGCTACTGAGCTGTTCCATACGTCCTTCAGCCTACACAATCTGCAGGCAGGAAATTCACTTGTACCTGCTTGGAGGACCATTCTTGCAAGGCCCCATCTTCTCACAGATACACACACCCGTAGTTCCAGGAGCTGTCTGCGAGCGGTATATGCTAGATGGTTCACTGGCTTCAGCTGTGATGGGAGTCCCAACAGGGGTGTGGGAGCAGTGTGCAGTGAAAGGACATGCAGATCTTGTAACACACACAGAGGCTGCCCAGGGCATTCCTAATGGTGGTACCCAGGCAAACAAAGTTTGGGAACTTTCTGGTATACTTTACATTGCTAAAATATTTGCCAAATATCTATAAACTAAGAGAGGATAAACAACTATCATACAGACGCTGAGCCACAAGCAGGACTTCTTTCTCTATGTCTTACTTCTTAAAAATCAGGCTTTTCAATCAGGATTGACATAGTCCCCAATAAATTCTAGATATCAGTGAATTAATCCATTGACCTGCAAACTAACACTTAATATAATTCAGTTTCTCTGAGTACTATCAGCATATGCTCTAACTGTGGAAAGTTTCATAGGTTCACAATATACTTTAGTTCTTGTATTTTTTATTTACTGCCTTGATTCTTAAAATACGCATTATAAGATCTTCAGTGTAATCATTCTAGGGCTGAGCTCTTTTGCATTATCTGCCTTAGTAAAATCAGATTCATTTGCACAGATAGAAACAGCAGGTTTAGATTATTTGACCAATTTTGATGGATAGCTGGGTATCAGACCTTATGGACATTGCCACATATATATTTCTGAAAGTTCAAGTATTATTCAAGGGGATCACTGTACATCTTAACAACATACTACATATATGCTCACTGAAAAAGTAACTCAACACTGGCAAATATGCAAGCAGAACTATAGTATAGACCATGGCTATATAATGTATATTGTAATCCTGAAGTGGTGATTACCTGATGACTATCATAAGTCAAATTCTTGCTATCAGGCATACTACTGAAGTGGTACAATGCATGACTTACCTTCGGAGTAGCCAAGATGCTGTGCTTTCTCCTTCCCAACTTTTAACATTTCTTTGTTAATGTCACAGACCACCACTTGGGAATCCCCTAGTGACTTAAATTTGTCTTCCTGGTAACTCTCAGAAATTTCCTGCCACGATAAATTCTGATGGTGCTTAAGCTTCTGCTGGAGCTGGCGTTCTCGTGCAGAGCGAACGTAATTAATAAATCGAAAGGCTATGTCACCTGCACGTTTTAAAAGATACATACACGTTTTGGAATGTTTTCTGACTCCAGGAAATTGGAACATAAGGCTATAAAAATAAAACCCACACACAGTATAGAGAGAGAGGGAATGTGTGTGCATATATCTATCTAAAAATATATATAAAGGTAACATATCAGAAACACACAGTCTATGACTTCCTACAAATGGAAACAGTCTTCCATAACATATCAGGGCAGTACTATAACAACTTTCAGAGCCTTAGAGCAAGATATTTCAAAATGCAAAGAAGTTAGCTCTCAACCCTTCTCTTTGAAAATCAAGTAGATGCTGCGCTAGTTTTAAAGACAGGGAACTGAGGGAAGGAAAAAAAGAAAAAGCTAGGCAACTTGAGTCTGAGCAGACTCAAACAGTTCAAAAAGTGCAGCATTGTCATGTGGAACTCACCAAAATTATTTACCTGTTCCTCCAGCAACATCAAGAAGAAGTGTTCCAGGAGAAGGGTTCATTTTATGCAAGAGGATATCCTTCCACAGTCGATGAATCCCTAAAGTCATTGAATCATTCATTACATCATATTTCTTGGCCACATTTTCAAAGACGTGATAAACTGCAAAGAAAAGACACAAGAATGAGATGCAATTTACTTAAAAATGCTCCTGTGGAGGTAAAATGTGTCTCTTACTGCCTCGTGGAGGTCTGTCATGACATGGAACTGAAAAGCCACCTGAAAACTCAAAAAAAGTGATCGCATCTTACTGAGCCTGTCGCCTGACAAACGTCTCTCTGGAGAAACACAGCCTCTTCCTGCAACCCTTCCGGAACCGAGGGGAAGAATCAAGCAGGCATACCACCGATACTATTCACCGAGACTCCCGGTAACGTCTCAAACCAACGGCCCAGCTCCAAACACGACCCCAGCACCCCCTCACCCGATGCGCGCCGGCTGCCCCGTTAGGTTCCAGCCCGCCCTCCCCCGGGGCTCCGCCCGGCTCCCCAGCGCACCCCGCCGCCGCCGCCCTCACTTTTCTCCCTCCTCTCCGCCTCCGTCACGGTCTGGAAGCCGAAGTGCGTCTCCGGCCCCGCGGCGAGACCCCGCACGGAGCCGCAGAGAGCCCGCAGAGCCCCGCCACGGCGGGCGAGCAGCGCCCGGTACGGGCAGA